ACACACACACACACACACACACACACACACACACACACACACACACAGTTGAAAGCTCTGGAAACAGCTAAAGAGTCTTGAGTGTGGTGACTTATCTCACCATGTGGACGACACCGGTGACGCCGACCACCTCCAGCAGCCCGTCATCGATGCTCGGTTTCCCATGGCGAACATCGACCTCTGACCCCCACAAGTCAGCACCAGAACCCCAACTACACACACACACACACAGACAGGAAGGTGAGTGTGCGGTCATACTGACTGTGGGTGAGGAGTGTGATGTGTGTGTGTGTGTTACCTGGGTATGTTGAGGAAGATCAGCCCCTCTATGTGAGGTAACGGGACGTTCTGAGCATCCACCTGCAGCTGCAGCTCTTGGTGGAGACTCCTGGTCCAACTGATCTTCTGCAGACCGACCTTCACGTACACCCCTTTGTTATGGAACCTGTGGGATTTGTATAAAATAAAGGTTTTAATTTGCAAATGTGTCGGCTCCGTCTGAGCGAACCCCCGAATGAGCTGTAGCTTTACCTGCTGGTGAATTTATCAGGGTCGTCCTCTCGGGCCTGGTGGAAGTCGAGGCTGACCTCCGCGTCGATGCCCAGACCGAAGTAGTTGTTCATCTGCACAATCTGAGACACAAAGACGCGTTAAAGACCGTTTCACCTCAGACAATTGTAGATGTGTAGAACACACATTTCCTGTTAACATTTTTAACAATGGACACTGTTTATTTATTAAGTATCGTGGTATCATGAGTATCAGGGTCACTGTTAGAAAAAAATACGAAGATAAAGTAGCATTATGAGAAAAATTCATGTTATCTGACCGCCCTTAGAAACTGGTTTTAACATATCATTAATTGTTATATCTATTTTAATCTATTATAATTCATCTAGTCATTTATTTGTTATTAGGGCGAAAAAAATACTAAGATTGAGAATAAAGTATAATAAAAATTCAGAAAATAAAAAAGTAACATTATGAGAAAAATTCATATTATCGAACTGCCCTCAGCGACAACAACTGCTTTCAGCACATGTTTTGTCAGTATCATTGTTAAATATATTAAAATTTTTAAAATGTATCTTTTTATTTATGTTTAATTAAACTTCCACGCAGATAATGTGTAAAATATGTTGCAAGATCCACCGGTTCAGTGCTGTTACAGCGTGAATGCACATCGATTTGCACATCATGGAACCGTTAGCTTGTTTTTAGCAGCCTTGAAGGACTGTAAGCTAACGGGGAGAATGGATTTGGACTGTTTGCCCCGTCTGTCCTGCAGGACCTGGATCTGGACCAGACCTTGGGAGGCTCCAGGAAGCCGTTGTCCTTCCCGTCTTCAGAGATGTCCTGGGCGTCCAGCAGGATGGTCCACCGGTCCATCAGGACCTCGTCTGCCTCGTCCACAGAGACCAGGATGTGGTGGGGGTTCTCGCCGCTGTAACCGGCTCCCCAACGCAGGACTCGAGACAAGTCGTTCCCTGTCGAGACGGGAAAGACTTTAGTACCCGTGGACACTGAACCTCAAAACCCCGGCAGCACGTGTCAAGTCAGTGAGCGTCGGTCTGACCTGTTCCCAGCGGTACGATGCCGATGGGCGGCTCACGACACACCAGTTTGTGCCGGACGGCCTCCAGCACTCCCAGCACCCAGCCCACCGTCCCGTCGCCCCCACAGACCAGCACCCGAAACCTGGGAACCTCCCGGAACGTGTGGAGGCTGGAGTGGAGAAGACGAACATCAGACACATTGAAAAAAATCAGAAATCACAGTTTAAAGGCCTGAAGACTTCATGAAGAAAATAACATGAACTTGACTCGATCGGCGCCATTAAGAGTCACCATGTGATGATGACATCAGAGGTCAAAGGTCACAGCTGCAGCTTCTACTTCCCACAGACTGTATTTAAGAAGTGGACGTAGTCGTCGTGACGTCATCCGTTGGTTTGTGGACTGATGTTTTTGAGTTCAGCATTTTGACAGTCGCCATCTTGGATTATGGCCGTCGCCATGTTGTTTTTTTCACAACCAGTGAACAGGAAGTGACCATATCTGGACTGAGGAGGAG